TATAATAGTACTACTATTATTATTATTTAGTTATTACTACTACTATAAAAAAAAGAGAAAAATATATAGTAAGTTAAGTTATATATATATGTGTGTGTATATATATATATATATATATATATATATATATATATATAGAGAGAGAGAGAGAGAGAGAGAGAACGATGAATAGAAGAATGCAAAGGTGATGAAATAAGACTTTTGGAGTTAAATCACCTTTAAAAAGTATAATAGTCAATTATTTTCTTGTCAGTATTTGAAGCAAGTGCTATTTTTCTAGCCAGAGACAAGCCTGTCGGTTAATGACAAACTGACAGGTTTGCTTATAACTTACTTAAAAACTAGTAATTGGAAAATAACTTAGAAGTATGACTTGATGCAACAGCACCCACAGTTTGTGGATCATGGATCTAAAATATCATGACTGTTCACACGTAGAGAAACTTAATAAACTTTGTATTTTTCATTATCTGAGTGTATTTAATTGCTATTTATATACTTTTTCAATTGTGTTTTGTATAAGTATCATGAAATCATTATCTGTTTTGTTGTGTTATGAATTCTGATTATTTAATCACACTAGTGAATATCATAGTTATATATTACTAAAATTAATACATTTAACGGTGCATATTTTTATGAATGATTTCTTAAATTAATTGTCAGTAAATAACTAGGCTTAGGCTTTTGTGTATTTTAGACTTGAAAACAATGACAGAAAGGCTGAAGAACAGGTATTATGTGAACAAGCGGCTATTCTGTGCTGACATTCTTCGCATCTTCACAAACTGCCGTGCTTACAATAGCCCAGACACCGAGTATTACAAATGTGCTAACACCTTGGAACGTTTCTACCAAAATAAAATGAAAGAAGCTGGACTGTGGGACAAATGAAATAATTTTGGAAATTTGAACAACCAGTTTGGGAGTCAACCTTTCCTTGCCATGTTATGAAATATTAAATATTGTACTCTTTCTAAAATTAAATGAGAAAGTTTACTGAAACAGAAGAAGAAGGAGTTATCATATTGTGTTCTTCAAATGATCTGCTGAAATGGAGTCTCAGAACATATTGAAATAATCAACCAGTCCAATTATGAAGTTATTATACTTTAAAGAGAGAGACTATTAATATCACTCCTTGGAAGTATTTGAAAAACCTACATAAAGATATGACATATGAAGCTTTTTGGACCATACATTTAAAATAATTTTGGAATGAAGCAGTCTTTTAGATTGGTAAAACATGCCAATTTTATTATTTAAAACTACAAGCCTGCAGTGTCTTCTAACACAATACAAAACAGTGTAGTGTGTGTAAGCAACTGTAGTTGATGTAAGAAGATAACATTTTGCAGGTATATGTTTCCCAGTGTAGTAGGTGAGAAACATACAGAGCTTTAACCAAATAAGGTCGCCATGAATTCATAGAACTCTGGATCGAAGCAAAAAATGAGTGTTTGTCACATGGGATATGTACATTCACCTGTATTTTAACCACCTGAAGAACATCTCTGTTTTAATGTTGCTTGTTATAGAGATATGTGAGTCATTAGAAGCCCATTTAACCTTATATCGTTCCACTTTTTCCTCAGTATTACTCGTAGTTGTAAAGTGTGTTCTTTCTTGAAAATCTGAGACAAACTTTTGGGTTTCTTGTTCAAAACTTACTTTGAAACTGTAAGCCAAACCCATGTCTGGATGTATATGTTTGCTGTAAAATGTTGTTTTTTTTACTACACATTCATATTCATCTCTAATAGATTGTGTTTGCTCAAATCATTGACTCAAACTAATAGCTCCCCAGTGGTATGTCTACAGACTTACAACTCTAGAATCTGGGCTTTGATGCCTGTGGTGGGCAGAGCACAGATAGCCCATTGTGTTGCTTTGTGCTTAATTTCAAACAATCAAACTCATATTAATACTACAAGATTTAAAGTTTAATCTTAAATAAAATCTCACATTTATTCTGTATATCTATTAATACGATAAAAAAAAAATGGAAAAATTACTTGAATATACTTGTTAGTTTCACTATGGACATCTACGTATGAAAAACAAATATGACTTTAAATTTATCATAACAAAGAAATGTTTTACCTGTCATTGAGATTGGAATTTGTAAGAATGAGTTTGATTATTTTTAAATGACCAGTTAACATTCTAGAAAAATAAGTCTGGCTTTTATAACGTAGAACGAGTACAAGTGCATGAACTGAAAAATTATAGTATTTCATATTTAGTTCAGTTCAAGTGTGGTACAAAAAGTTGTAAACATAGTAAAGCATTAGTGTCATCTGTCCAAAACTGTAATGCTTCTGTGGATTATCAAATGGATTGAATATACTTTTTGTGTTGTTGTTGGGTTTACTATAAACCAATTTTTTGTCAAATAAACTTTCATATTATATTAATCACTGGTTATTGCCAATGTATCTTTAAAGCTTGGTAATCAAATATCTTTACTAAAAGTAAGGATGATTAATCAGTAATGAAGTAAATTGATATTAACTTCTGGTCAACATTAGTTACCTACATAGATAACTAATTATGTATGGTTTGTGTAGTGAAACAATGAAGTTTCCAATTCAACCTTTTTCTGTTATTAATAAGACTTGATTGGTAGATTGACCAGCATGTTGGATATTCAGTCAATTTCAGGTTACCATGAAAATGATAGAAAATGTAAGCAAAATCTGACGTAAAATATCTGTACATCTAACTTGAAATTAGAAACTGAAGGCATATTTCAACATCATACTAGTATTTATAATGTAGCAGTGATGACTAAAATGTCAAAACTTACAGCAGTTGTAAAGAATATTTACTTATTTTGAGAAATGCAACTTCCCTTCATCAGGAGATCCAAAATGTGTGTTGCTTATAACTTATGATCTGTTTCCTTATTTATATCAACTCTTGTAAAGAGGTAGAATTTATTCAGAAACTTGTTCAAGTTATGGCAGTATTTTCTTTTTTGTTTTGTTTTTTAAATAAGTCCTCTATTTTGTGAACACATTTCTCAACAGGCTAGTTAATATTGCACAATCATGTCATACATACCAAAATTGACTACATTTTTATTTGATTTGGTTGCTAAACATGGCATACCTCACCTAATTCTATAAGCTTGTTCTAGTTATTGAAGAAAAATTTTAAGAATAGCTAATGCATATGGCAAGTTACAGTTACTAATGTTTTTTTTGCAAAGTTCCATGAAGAAATAAAAAAAATTAATATAATATATAAAAATATATTACTTAAATTATCCATATAGTGAGACAAAATTCACACTGATCATTGTTTATCAGAAAGAAAGTGTAAACACGAGATAATCTTTAATGAAATGTCTGTACATTTGATGAAGTGATGGTAAAATACTGGTTGCATTTGGCCACAGGAATAAAGGGTGAGAAGAGTTCTTTAAAACTGTATTTACATGTTTCAAAAATTCATAATCTCAATAATTTAATTTTAATTGTTGTATTATGTCAAGCAGTTAAAAGTCTTGGAAAGTAACATTAAACATTTTATTGAAACACCAGACAAAGTTGAAAACTAGATAAAACAAAAATGTATGGCAGGTGTTTGACTATTAGTTGAAACTTCATTTGTCATATGTTTGAAGAAAATGCTTAATTTGAAGTGTCATAATATTTTTTTAGTACTATCTTTTTAAAATCATTGTCAACAAGTCTATTTAGGTTTGAGATCTTCTCAATAAGACTAGGGATCTAACTTTATATTTACTTTCATATAATCTGATGTCAAAAATGGCATTCACAAACAAGTATTATATAACTAAATACATAAAGTAATTTTAAATTATGTTTGTACAAATATATTATCAGAATTTGATCCACAGGGTTGTGTGTCATAAATGTTCAACAACTCAATCATATAAACTTCCTTAAAAATACAATCAAAATAAAAGTATACCTCACTCCAACCAAGCAGTGAAACATTGATAAAAAAAAAAAACATTCAGTGCACAAATATAAAGGATTGAGTATATTACATGAAAACTATCTTGAATATGCAAATAATCAAGATGTGTAAACACTACAGTCACAGTGGAATGGCTTGTGTCGGAACTACATTTTGGCACAGATAGCGTGATGTCACATAAAAATTTATCACTTTTGGGAAATGTATGTATCATTAAGTTGACACAAAGTATTCATAAACTCAGATTGGGGATTTTGAGTTTCCAAGACAGGGATATTTATTATACATAATAAACTGGAAAACAAAGGAATAAATGAACTTAAAGTACCAGGACCATTCAGAAAGAGACTTGCAATGAGTCTTACTACAACTATGGTAAGCAGAGTATAAAATATTGTAACATATGAGAATCTAAAACACAAAGGTCAGTGGCAAATGCCATCCTTGTGCCCATGGCAACAGTACAGAACATAATAAAGAAGGATTTTTGTCTGGAAATAAGGCCAACAGGATATGTTTGTTAAGGTTGGTATAAATTCTCTAAAGGCATGCTTGATTTGCCTGTCCCCAAAACATATTCTGGTGGTTCTTTTAAATGGAGCAGTAAGTTAGCATTTCTATTATGGCTGAGAATGCATTAGCCACCCTTGCTTTTTTGATTAAAGAAGAAGAATCATAATAATGCAACAGGTGGTTTAATTATGTTTTTCACAATTTTATGAATAATACAATTAACAAATTTGTATAAAGTTAATTACCTCCTTCTGCAATATATCTAAAATAATTGTAGAGACTAAAGATATGCATTGAATATAAATATTTAAAATATATGGTACATTGGTACACTTCCTCTGCCATCTTCATAATGTCACTGTTCCCTTTACACTACATCTTTATTGAGGACATTCTGGAACACTGTTCTAAGCTACTTTATTACTGTGCAGAAAGTTTAGCATGTTCACAAGGATGATTCAAACTTATCTTTAGATACCTGTCATTCCAACTGTTGCATATTTCAAACAGCTGGAGAAAGAAATGGGTATTCATACTATTCTGTACAAAGGCACAGTGGTCAAGCCATCAGATACAATGCCTGCAACTGGACTGTTGAAATTTGAGTTTGTAAACCATTGTCCTCATACACTAGATTGATTATGGAAAGCCTGCAAGAAGTAATGTTATGCTTTGGGCATGACAGCCTTATGATAGAGGAAACTATGCTGCAGGGCTACTGCAAAGATTCACAGAGTCAACGAGATTTTTTTACATTTGCTTCACTAATTTCCCATAAGAAAAGCTATTATACAGGGCCAAAAGAGAAGTGGAAAACAAAAAAAAACAACATAAAAGCTTTTACCATATTTTAATTTCACCATAATGAGACTTGAAATACATAGATAAACACCCAAGTTTGATAGAATGCCAGCTTATTCTAGAACCAAGCATCACACATTTATTTCTAAAGCTTTTGAAATAATGCAATATAGTAACAAGGATTCAACCACCAAAACTAAAGTTATTTAGAAAGTTCTTTTGTCCACTTGGTCTAGAATGAAGTAAATGTATTTGTACACTTATTGTTCATGTAATCATTCATAAATGAAGTGAAATATCAAAAAAATTAAGGAAAAGGGTTGGCTTGAAAAAAATTAGCTTTTCACAAATTGGCTTTTATCATAATTAATCCACTGAAACCAAGACACAAAAATTCAAGTATTAATTTTAAATTCAGGGAAATGTTTTTCAAGTTTTGGTTCATCACAAAGATTCCCAAGAGAACCTAAATTCTACTATGTAAAATAAAAGATTTTTTTGTATTCAAAATGTTTGAACCATGTTAGAATACACTATTTTAATGTAATTATTGTGTAATTATGCATGTTTATGACTTAAACAGTTTCTTTTTTTTTTTTGTTAATATCAACTTCAAATATTAGTTTTAGAACAAATTTAATTTTTTGAATTTCTTTTTAATTTTTATTCTTTGATATACACCCACAAGTCTTAAACAGAAGCCTTTGTTTGTACAAACTAGCATGGTAATAAAATAATATGTATGAATAAAATCTTTATGTGAAATGTATATTTGCTCAGTGAGAAAAAAATGCAAGTCAAAGTCATTGATCTTCGTTCTTCAGACTTATTTTTTTACTTCTAAAATAGTTTTGGTTTCCATATATATGTGTGTGTGTGTGTAATATGAGAGAATCTATTTCCAGAATCACTTTCTAGTTAGAATCAATATAAAGAGGTATGTGTTGTTTTTTCTTCCCTAGAGGAGTTACGTGGAACAGTAAGTGATGTATGCAGTTTGGGATTATGATATACCATAACTACATCCATGTTTTTCTTGGAAAGTGTGGTGTACCAGAATTCCTCATCTTTATCCTTTGTGGACATTGCAGCAGTCAGTAAGGTTAACAAAAAAGTTTTTAGCCAGACAGTCTCGTAAATAAACATAAACACAATAATTATGAATAAAGATTTTGTTTTATATGTTCATCAGGGTTTGTTTCTTTCCATAGTTGTCCGAGTTCAACTTATTATCTGCAAAAATTTCTGGAATCTGCATTCTTGCAGATACTTTAAATTTATCTGTTGGACATGAGTGTACCTGAAATTAAAGCAGAACATAAATTTTACAGAAAATATTACATTAATTAACAGTAATCATACTTGCAAGTTTAATAAGTCTGGCTGAATAATATATTCTGAAAATGTACATTATGAATCACATTTTAAATTGTGTGCACACAGATGAAAATCATGAGCTTAGACATAATGGATACATACGATTGTCAAAATCTTGAAGACTACTGATGTAAAATATTGTTATGACCCAAAACTAACAAATTATCTTCAACAAATAATACACTACAGACTTCTGGATGTGTTTATGTATATATATATATATAAATGTATTTAATCAGGACTTCATTAAAATATAAGATTACATCTCCAAATAAAACAAATGTTATCAACAAAATACATTTTCAATTCTGTTCTTCCTCTACAGTTAGTTATGCATACTTTGTCAAAGTTTATTGCCATAGATATTTTTGAATATTTCTAGGATAAGGGGTGCAAAATTGAATTTTGGTGTACATGTATAATGTTCTTTCAGAGGAAATATTACAATCTGTATGTAGTATTAAATACTGTAATATTTTTATAAAGATACAAATGTTAATAGCACTTACTGAAGGTATAGAACACAATCTTTCACAAAATTATTTTTTAAAGTAATTTTACTATTTACCACTTGAAAACAATTTGGTTATTACAAGCTGTGAAAACCTTATCTAACTTACTATAATAATCACAAATAGCATGTTATGAAGAGATATTCAAAGAATCACATTCGACTTTAAAAGAAGACATTTTTTATATCACAACCAGTTTTGGTCAATACGTACAACAGGGAAACATTACAGATCAGCACTGTAGCTCAAATACTGATAAGAAT